CTAGTGTTTACTCTGCACATTGTGCGGGTTGGTCAAGATATATATGAGCTTAATGATTTAAGATTGTGTGACATTTTTGACGGAGTGATATATATATATATAAACAAAATAATTTACTGATGTAATTTGAAATTATGTAATTCTTAATGTCAATACATTTTGTTATTTTGTATAATTTTTAGTATTCTAAATTATCCAATATAACTTGTTTTCTATCTTTTTCATTTTGTTGATTTATAACTTTATATATTTTATTAGAAGTATACTCTTAATTTCACATAATTCTCCCGTTTCACATCTTTTATATAACAATAAATAAAAGGAAAGAATAGTAAAAGGGACCGTGCAGATGTTCCGTTTCGGCCAATTGAGCTTGAACAATAACATCACAAATAATAGTGATTGATGATAACAACAACAATAATAATAATTAAAAACCCTTGCTAAATACAAATTTGGTACTTTTTTTGCTCTTTCTATGTTCCAACCAATAGACGCTTTGTCTGATTGACCAGAATAGTTATCTACAAAGTCTCAGATTGATTTATTGGTAGAAGTCAAAGGGAGAAATAGGAAACATATCGATTTCTTGGCATAAGCTAAAGGGAGAAATATGAAATAGAGGGAGAAATAAGATGTCGACCCAAACGGAATTGAATAACAACCTGGTGTTAGGATATTGTACTTCATAGTATTAGACCCGTATTTAATTATATTTAAGTACGGTCCATTGTGATGAATTTTTTATTTTACTTTTTTCAAGCAGAAGTGTTTAGCCTTTTGTTTGGAATACGGAAATGTGAAACTCTAGAGTTGATGGAAACGGATAGCCAAATGCTGGCAAACATCTTATCCAATGGGGGTCCCTTTTCCTAAGAAATTTCACTTTGAAAGGGTAGAGATTCATGCTATTATGGAGAGAAGAGGTTATACAATACATCATGTTTTCAGAAAGGCTAATGCGGATGCGGATAGGCAGATAGCTTAGCTCGAAAGGCTTCAGTTTGACATTTCGAATAATATGCGGGTCTTGATGATCTCCCGAGTTACACCAAGGGCCTTCTCCTCTTAGATCAACAGTCTATGCCATATGTGAAAGTCCTGTAGTCTTAGTAAGGTGGCTACATAATGTGGACCTTTGTTGTAATTGATAGACTTTATTATATCTCTACATATTTCTGTATCCTGGTAAGTCTTAGGCACTGCCAGCTCTTCTATCTTTAAATAATATGGGGATTCTTCGGGATTTGTGTTGGGAGGTTACATTATTAATTTTAGAAGTATACCCTTTAAGTGCATTATTGTGCCTCTTAGCTCAAAGTTTCGCAAGTCTCTCTTTCTTCTTGCTTAAAAGAAAAAAAAAGATGTCGACACAATAACTCTTCAGAAGTTTAGCCAATATCTCCTTTCCCTTCATCCACCAGCCTTTACCATTATCAACGGCAGCATCCCTGATCAATATCTGAATAGGTTTGCTATATATGAAGAGTTTGTCAGAGAATAATTTAAATTATAAATTGGTTAACTTGCTCTTGATTAATCGAATAAAATCAGTTATCTATTTTTTTGCCATGTCAATCACCCTTCCTCATTTACGTCATGTGTTTAATAGAAAACTCTCTTTTAATATAGTCAATTTGTTTATTTATGAATAATAAAAATACGTATCTATTCTATTTGTTCCAAAAATTGGCAATTTTTGTAACTTTCTTGTGGTCTATGAAAATTTTTAATAAAAATAAAAGATGTATCCAAACTCCAGAGTAAACATTCATCGGAGTGATATTTTTTTAAAAAAATGTTGTAAAAAGATATTTGTTTTATATTTGTTCCATTTGTGTTTAACAATATGTGACTATTAATTATTGTGCCATGATATAGAGTTTACTTCAAGCTCAATAAAAGATACCTGCACATTTTTTATGGTTATCTAGTAATTTGGGTTTCATACCAAATTGGATGATTTTTCGCAAATTTGTAGGACGTTGATCTCTAAACTCTAATCATTGGGATGAAAATTTTTAAAAAGAGACTATAATTCAGAATAGTTAATTAATCATAATACGGGGGTCACATAACAAATAGTATTATTATGCAAGGACTAATAAAGTAAATAAAGATGTAAAATTTACCGTTAAGGGAAAATCTCCTAGTTAATTTAGTTTTATCTATAAATTTATAATTTTACATTAAAAAATTACTATTAAATGATGGAGCGATGTGGTTGCGACATGTGGACTTAGCCATCTAATTTCGCATCACGTGGATTAGCCTATCTAACTTTATGCCATGTGTCCGATTGAAAACTCTCATTTAATATATATATATATATATATATATATATATATAAAGAGTCCAAATTGACTCAAGTTTACCTCTCAACCTCGCCCTAGAGTAACATTTTACCATGCATATTCACCTGTTGACGAAGTCTGGAATTGTATCACCAGTTTAATAGTGGAACGCTGGCTAGGGTTTCCTATAAAATAGAGCCTCGGGGGTTTCCCGAGGGTAAACACTCCGATACTTAAGTCAGAAATAGGGTTATGAGTAAACATGTGTATGAGAATTGGTGCTAGAGATAGCATACCTCAATTGTGGTGTTATCAACCCGATTTATAGGCATGGAGTCTCCTGGAGGGTATTCGAATCCTATTAGGTTTCGTGCTGCTCAAACTGCCTTATCAGTAATTACCGGATGGGCCGAGTCCAATAATCCCAGATAGATATGGACTCGTCAAGTATCCCTGCCAAGTGTTAGTTATATAAAATAAACAAGGCTTGGCACAAAACAATATTACCCGGACACGGCCCAAGTCGTGTGGATAAGTTTTGGCCCAATATATATCGAATGGATCTGCTAAGACAGTTTGCGGGTTAGGATTTGACCCGGGGAGGCGACCCGCTTCAAACTCCTGCCCAAGCCATCAAGTTGAGTGTCTTTAGTGGGCACGTTCCCCAAATGACGACACAATCATAACTGTCTCGATTTGTGCTGTAACGATAGAGACGTGGGGGATTCAATTTTTTGCCTTATATATTTGGAGGACAAAGAAGCTTTATAACTTGACTTTTAACAGGCTTTGGAACCAGGGCTGTCGAAGATGGTGTTTCTTGCGGGCAAAAAGACTTTGACAACATATATACCATGTTTAGCGGCAGGAAATATACATATGGCCTTTCCCATAATTGCAATCGCCTTTTATCTTGACCCAAAAACTTAATCAACAAGAAATCCTGCTTGGCGGTTGATACGGATGTTGCAGGTATCTCTTCCACTACCGAATCTTCTCTGGTTCTCTTGTTCATTACCCGTTGTCACCGACATTTTTCAGTTCTAGTCATTCTAGTTCCTGTCAATGTCTGGTTAGGAAATTTTGGATGTGCTGCACGATGCCACTCACCATCACCCGCTGATGATGCATTAACAGCCTTTGGCGGAACTTTATTCTATGGTGTAGGTCTTCAATTCGTTGCCATACCAACGGTCAGCGATCTTTAATGTTACGCTACTCATTGGTCCTTTCAGGAATCATTGGTCTCCCTAATCTTGACTGCACAGGTAGATGCTGTTGAGACGGAGCAATCACGTGCTACCTTCCTGAATGCGGTGTCTCTGGCTGTCGCTGTTGATTCAAACCATTCAAAATAGCATCTGATACTACCCGCAACTTTTCTTGTTCTGGATCTAAAGGTGTCTCCTTTGCACCCAAGTCTGCATTTGCCCATTTATTACAATATTCACTTTGGTTGCTGGTGGGCGTGTTACTTGTCGATGTAAATGTCCTCCAATTTAGATCCTAATTCAGAGCTGCGTATTCAACATCCGAACAAAAACCGACGAATCTCCCTCGTACCCACCGCATATCACGGTAACAAACCAAGGAATCTCCCTCCTACCCACCGCAGATCGTGGTAACGAACCGAGGAATCTCTCTCGTACCCACCACAGATCGTGGGAACAAATCAAGGAACTCGTATCCAGTTCGCTCGAGAAAGCCGTGTACTTAACATCCCACTGAAAAGCGCTATATAAATGAACAAACTCGAGTTAGCAATTATACATTTGCTGCCTTCACACATTGTGCGAGGTTCCAAAGATAACACAGATGCTTTCCTATGATATTACAAGGATTTCCATGCTGGGGTTGTCAGGAGACGGGTAGATAATGCCCTTAAACCCATGCAGGCTAAGAAGGTTTACGCACTGGTTGAGCTTATCCTTGAGATTTATAATCTCCTCGTCCTAAATATGAACCCTTAAAAGGAGTTCCTCTCGAGAGCTCCTGGTTTTAGGATCTACAACCTCTTCGGGCTTCTCAAAAGGTGGGAAGTCGACATTGTGATCCAACAATAAGTTCTGGAGCTCTCTTATGTATTCCATCAGAAGCTCGACTTCGCGAGTTCTTTCCTTCAGCATGTCCATTGCCGAAATAAACCTTGAGATCATGTGCAGCACTCGAGCAAGGACCTCATGCTTCTCGAGAAACCATGGTGATACGATAATTTGTTTGCCCTGTTTCAGCTTGTCGTTTTCTTTCTCCAGAGCAACTAGTTCATCATGGATGCCCGTCTCGAAGTCAGAGAATCACTGAAGTCTTTATCTTTCTGATAATCTCGCCGTTGCATTTCTATGCAGAGTTCTTTTATTTCCTCGATCAAATGCTGGTTGACTTTCACATTGCACGCCCGCATAGTGTCGAGGAGGTCTGCTTCTAAGTTCATTACTGTCTCGATACTATGGACATTTGCGCGACTTCTCATAATATCGCTAATCATCAAGTATAAAGGATATTCCCTCGATTGTTCCTCCGACAAAGTCATGAGATGGATCCGATGAACAGACCAACTATCCTTTTTTCAAGAAAAATGAAAAGGTCAAAATTAGAATTGGAAGGCAAGACAACATGGCATTCCTGTAAAAGCCAAATAAAAACTTTAAATTGTTTACAAAAACAGTGATTGTTTAAATTGCTAGCAGCTATTACAGAGGAAAGAGTTCATACAGCATCTTGTCCAGTAGAACCATCCTCGGGATGACTCTGAGATGTCTCTCCGGCGTTCTTCTGCACTCCCGAGTTGCCAATATCAGTCACGTCCTCCCTTGAGGCCTCATCATCTTCTTCCTCGAGCTCGATGCTGATATACTCGTCTGGAACCTCAGGAATTGGCTCCTTCTCGCTTGGGCCCTTGGACAAGACTGTGGCTGGATCACCAGGAAACATGGCCATATCTTCAGGAGTACCCATCTTAACGAGGGTTTTGCATAAAGCCTCCCATAAAGACAGCCGCTCACCACTGAGCTTCGTGAGAACCTTTACCAGTGCCTCATACATGGTTTTCTTTGGGCTCTCTTTCAGGAACTGTTTGAACCACTTCGCCTTGATGGGCCTGTCTCCGTTAAGCCTCTTGAGGCCTGCAACAGCTAATTTGTGAGCTCTATACTCTGTGGCCGCTAAATTAACCTCCTCGATAGCCACTGCCATGCCACCTAAAGATAGCATCTTGAACCAGAAGGCAGCACACCATTTGTGGAGGTCTTTCCTCGAGATATGCAGATCTGCAAAGTCCCTCAGCTTCTCGTCCAACTCATTATATTTAGCTTACACAGAGGCTAACTCCTGCTCTTTGGCTTGTATCTGCTGATTCCTCTCCTCGAGAGCGGCCTTCTCGACAAGCGCCTGGTCCCTCTTGATCCGAGCCTAGACCAGCTCCTCCTTTAATTTCCTTAGGTGCATCAAGTATGCCATCGAGGATGCACTCATCTGTAAAATTCATTGAATGAAACAAAGTTTGTCTGCAGGAGGTTTGCAAGAATATTCTCAAATGATATAACGTACTTACCAGCCTCACGATGTCTGTTGCTGTTAGCTGTGCAGCAAACTCTTCCAGCAAGGGGCACTCAATGGTTGGAGGATCGCCAAAGGTGTGGACTGCCACAGTTGGTCCTCCCTCGAATACATGGGAAGGCAAGATGGTTGCTTCCTCCTCGAGAGGGCCCTTCCATTTGTCCGTGGCAGGTGCTTTGTTGCTTGGGTCTACCTCTATTTGGGGAGTGGTGGCCGTCTCTATTGCAAGGGGATCACTGGTCTTTTCCAGAGACCTTCACGATATTCTCTCCTTGAACTGTTAATTTTGAGGCGGCGACATCTGCCTTCTTTTTCTTCTCTTTCTCAGAGACCTTCACGAGTCTCTTACTTTTGTTCTTGGCTCCAGCAACTACAGTTGTTGACTCTTCTTCATCTTAATTCACAATAGCAAAGGGGCCTTTGTCACCATACAGTCGAGAACCAGCCTTGCTCGACGACATGACCTAAAAACAACAAAAGAAATACACAGAAATTAGTACCTTTTTCTTCCTCGACAAGGACATTAGTATCTTTTTCCTCCTCGACAGGAATAGGGGGAATGTAGTGCTGCACGTCACTCCATTTAATGAGTTTCGGGTACTTCAGAATTTTCTTAAGATCGTCGTCAAGCTCCGCGACGCGCTCATCATCTTCCTTCGTCCAGTCATCCTTTACAGCCCTGAGACCTTCTGCTTCTCGATAGTTCCATGCAACATAATAATTCTTGGAGGCCTTCACAAACATGAATTTAGGCTTCCATTCGGGCGAGCCACCATATGCCTCAACCATCTTCTTAATACCCGTCCTTGGGTGTTTCTTCACAATATACCAATCTTAGAACGATGTTGAGGGAACGATGACTTGGGAAAAATACCTCCATAGAATCAGTTGGGGCTTCACCTTTACTCGTTCACATATTTTTGCAAACCCAAGAATGAAGGTTATTAAGTTTGGTGTAAAATGAGCAAGAGGAGTTTTATAATGTTAGAAAATCTCCTCGAACAGTGGGAAGTGGGGGAATCTTAGCCCTAGATGCATGAAGCGGTCATATATGGTAATTCTCCCCTCTGAAGGAGAATTGGCTCTCTCGATACCTAAGGGGGCTTTCATGTCTAACTCTACAGGAAGGTCGTCTCTCGTTCTGACTGCCTTAACTCTATCATCGGAATTAATGGTTGAAGCAAAATCTTGCACACTTTTCAGATCTGGGTTTCTAGTAGCCATACCTATCACAATATGAAAGGACAAATCTCGATCTATGCTATCATTACTAATTAAAACAATCCATAGGAAAGGAATCTGAGTACTTACCATGGGAATTGGTTTCCACTCTCCCTTGGAATTGTAGCCTCTCAGTATCCTCTCAGTCTAGTTGCCGGTAAGTCTTCCGGTGGGGATGTCGTCGGGGCAAGATAGCAGAAAAAACTTGCGAGCGCTCAAGCAGTAGCGGTTGGGGAACTTTGGCGAAAGAAAGAGGTCTGATAATTCAGAGAAAGAAAGGAGAGCAGAGGCAAAGTGGCCTAATTTATGGCACTGCCTTTGTTTGTTCCAAACATGCCATCAATGCTGCAACAGATGGAGGAGCTTTCTTTCCAGAACCTGTTTGGGTCGATGAAGTGGCCGCCCTAAGTTTTTTCTTACTTCCACCAGATTCCGACACAGCTTTCTTGAGGGCAATACTCTCCCCAATGGCGACAATACCTTTTTCACTTTCCTCACTGTCAGATTCTTCGTCACTACCATCAACGTGTACTGGATTCTCCTGCAAAGCGAACACACAAAGGAGAATTGGTAAAAGTAGTGTTCTGAAATCTTCATGGAATTATTTAAATATTTTTACCTTGTTGCTGGCTTCACTTGTTGTCCGTTTTTATCCAATGAGCATATTGGACGGGCAGGTTTTCGTTGGTGCTTCTTTGGCAGGAACTTGTTTGGCTTTACCTCTTGCAACATTTAGAGTTTTCTTAGTCTTCTCAGGGCCAGCTTTTGCCTTTCCACCAGCTTTACCTTTCCCTACAATGTAAATACTTAGACATGTATACAAATGTAAGCCACAACATGAAATGTTCAAGGAGAATTTTGTACCTTTAGGATTCGCTTCAACTTCAACTGCAACAGTTTTGGGTTTCACGTATTTCCCAATACGAAAGGCAGTCTTAACTGCTTCATACCCAGAGCCGTGCATAGTGTTTGCTAAGCTCTCTCCACCAATATGCAAATCTAGGGGTTACTTCAAAAACAGAATTTGAAAGGAGTTATTGGAGAAGTTTTTTCATGAGTAGCCATCAACTCCCAGTGTGCTTCATATTGTGCCATGGTCAATTTCTCTCTGCCTAATCTCCTTGTTCCAACCAGAAACTTCAAAGTGTGGCACGCCGGATAATATTCTGCGTGCATATCAGAAACCACGTTGCGAGATTGCACACTTTTACAGCCATAGAAGATGTCCCTTGCTGTCAGCAAATAGCTCCATACATATGTCAACCCATATATGCCAATATTATCCCACCGATCACTTTCAGCTTCAGTATGACAAATATTTCCAAAAATTTTATGCCACTAATCGTTACTTATCTGTTGCACCATCACACCTATGTCTAGGCAGGATTCAAAGATGATCTTAAAGGCCTGAGTTCCATTGTACTTGGGTTTCACATACTGTTGCACTCCCAGGCACAAGGATTCTCCACTATCAACAGGATATATTCCCTCTGGCTTCAGACTCGGGAAATACATATACAACCATAAATGCAATAACCAAACGGGACCAAACAGAGTTGAACCTGGATTATGCTTAGTTTCATGCAGACGACGATATAACATTGCAAACACGGTTTCAGCTAGGTTCAATTATTCTCTAGAAGCTAATCTACAGGTAACATGGTACCAATCCATAGTCATCTGAAAAGATTTTCCAGGGAATACATACATGTTCAGCCACAGAGCCAAAAGACTTATATGGTGCAGGCGGCTTAATTTCCCTTTGTTTTCACTAATGAAAGGGCCATAGCTCCTAGTTTGGCCCGCCACCGCCAGAACTACATCATCATTTGTCCCCTTTCCATCAATGGTCACAGCTGCAACTGCAAGCAATCCTCTAATCACACAGATATCTAACAGAGTGGGTGTCATCGGTCCCCACGGGAAAGAAAAAATGTTGCTGGTCCAACTCTAGAATCCCATCACTGCTTCCACGAATTCTCGGTTTTCTGCGAGTCCTATGAAGCAAAATTGCAACAAATCATAAATGCGGGCCATCCCCCATGTATCTTCATATTCCAGCTTCAGTTGATTGTACCACTCGACAAACACTTCATGAGTCTCCAGTTTGTCAGACCATGGCTATCAAACTTGCAGGGATTTTTGTATTTGTGGTAAGCATCTTCTGGGCATAGCAATGGAATGTATTATTTTAGATTTTCTGGCACCGTCGAAAAATTCGGCCCTAGAGTAAAGTGCCGTAAAGATCGATTGTAGAGAAGCATTACTTGTTCTTCATACGGTGTCAAGAAATCGATGTCTTCTGGTTTTACTTTATGAGCTGCATCTTTGGATTTGTCATACGCCATGGGATTTGCATCACTTGGGCCAGCCATTCTTGTTGAAGAGTTGCAACAGGAAAAAGGGGTTTTTCTTTGAGTGGCGAAATTTAGGTTTCTGGTGGTAATATTATCGTTGGCAGGTGAATATGAGGATTTCGATTGGCACAGAAGCTACTTTAATACAAATTTTTTGTGGCAGTTTCAAATGGAACATCGATTCAGAATCGGAAAGGATTTTTTCCGATGGAACAGTGACGAAATTGTAGAGATTTTTTTTCTCTCTCTCCATCATCTATTAGGTGTATTCAAAGTCTTTAATCCAGTCAACCCTCGAGATTCACGGAGTCATCCAACCTTTAGCAAACTAGCGTTTCTGGCACACACGCCTTTGGTAGGGGGGCTCCTAGGCCGATCAAGAATTTTTTCTCTTGGGCAGATTCTTCGCTGGATCGTCCCACTACATTGGGCCTTGGAGGCATGGGAAATAAGACAAGCAATATTCGGCCAAATTTGCTTCCCTGGGGGGCTTTATGTTGAACCGATTTTAACAAATCTGGTCCACACGAGTTGAGCCGATCGCAGCAAAGTATTGAGACAATAAATATCGGCCAGCCCACAAAGAGTCCCAAATCCAGAGCCAAGGCTTAATCGGCAGCTCGAGTTGGAGAAGGATTCATCGGTGGTCAAATCCTTGTCGGAGAAAGATTCCTACTGCAACAGAAGTCCTTATTGGATTCGACTTTGGTTGCAATCCAACTAGGGTTGGTAGATGACTTATAAAAGGCTATGAAGAAGAGACAACAAACATATACAATTCATCATACAGAATCAAATACTTTAGTCTTTCTCTATAGCTTTTTTTGCCATTTATTTTATTTCAAACTTTCTTGCATTTTCTTTACATATTGTATTGATTATTATAAGCATTCTACGTTTTTGGCCATTCATAACCGATTCGTGTTTATCAAATCTATAAAGCTGGCCTTCGTGGCCGTTTTATTCATCTTTTCGAAATTCTTTCATTGTTTCGTTAATAAACGTTTAAACACTCAAACTCGTTTTTTTTTTTTTTTTGCGTCGAAGGTGTTGGCATTTTTTAACAGTTTTAACGTTTGGACTCCATACTTTGAGAATATCACACAGTCATTTGAAATTAGTTTGAGTCATTTCGGTCTTCACTATCAAATACAATTTTGACTTAAACATATCTAATTGGAACAAACCATAAAATTATATGTGAATTTTCAATGGGCATATATCCATTACATACATGTGAGTTTTTTAAATATACGATATAAAGGCATGTATTAACCATAAAAAAGCTAGATGTGCTGATTTCTAACTGGCACATATTAACCATTACATATATGTATGTAGTTTTTTAAACATACAGTATAAATTAACATGCATATATGAATTATGTGCCCATAATGTCGACAAAATAACTACTATAAAAAAGTAATATATAATATATAATTTATATTATGTGCCTATTACATAATGGTTAATCTAAGGGGTAATATAAATATAGTTAACAAAATATAAAGAGTAACATATTTTTGTCTCTTAATAGGCAGTACTAATAAATGATTTTTGTTGATTACTTTAATAAAAATTATAAAAGAAAAAAATAATTGGATTAAGAATAATTATATATACATTTATTTATAAACGAATACGACATCTCACGACCTAATAAGATTAAACAATATATGTGATTATTTAAGAAATTACACAACATAATAAGATTAAACTATTTATCAATGTAATTATACTATAATTAAATATATAGTGTAACATATTATTTAAAATTATTTTATCCTATAAGAGAATTAATACTCCATACCAGTATTAAATAGTATTTCTTTTTTTCTACTTTTTTCTTTGTATATGCATTTTGGAATTCAAGTGTGGTATGCGATTTTTATCGAGAAATCTTCTAACCTTGATGAAGATTGGTAATGTACGGAAAAATATAAAATTAATTAGACGATTCATTATATATTTTTCCATACGATAACGGTAAAAAGGTTAACATTATAATGATATAAAAAAACATAAAAATCAATAGGGAGAAAACTTTTAAGATAAAAAAATAAAGGTCTTTGCGACAAAGAAACAGTAGAAAAAAACATATTTTAAAAATAATTATATGAAGGAAAATATTAAGTAGAGAATAAGAAAATATGAAAAAAAAGTAGCTGAGATAATAGCGAAAAATAAAATAATTATTACAAAATTATCAAGAAATGGAGCTTTAAAGAATTGCCATCAAATTTAGAAGAAAATAAATAAAAAGATGAAGACTATGGAACCAAGAAAAAAAATAAAGTGAACACTGTATTATAAGAAAAATATAAGAAGAAACTTATAAAAAAAGGTTACAAAAGATATATAGAGAGATTGAAAATAACGATAAGTTTATGAAAAAAAAAATAATGAGAAATTTTTTTGTTAGAGAAATCATTATGAAAAATTAAAAAAAATACTTTTACAAAAATGTAAAACCATAAATCAACAAAACACCAAAATAGTCATCGTAATTAAGATGGCCAATATAAGTTACATTGAGTAAATTTCGAATATTGAAAATAATTTCAAATGCACTTAGAATAACAAAACACGGTGCCACTAAAACTTACATAATTATAATTTATATCATTAATAAGAGTATCATCTTTTTACATATATAACTTTTGCAGAAATAGTATGTAATCTTTAAATCATTAAACTCATATATTTTCTAACAACCCGCACAATATGCGAGGTAAATACTATTACTCTTTTAATTATAACCGAAAGAGGTAAAATTGATAATTTATTCAATAAAATTCACCGCACCTAATTCAGCTTTATTTTGTTAATTTTTTTAATTGGCTATCCAAATTCATGGAGCACGTCCCAAAATCATCTTGTTTTAACATATAAACTTTCTTGGCAATATCTGCTCACTAATCTCATTTTCGTAATTGCTAACCATCCTGAGGTTATTGCAAAGCGTTCGTTTTCAAAACTTTGAATGTATTTTGGAATTTGAATTTGATGGTAGTAAAATGTAAGCATGATCTAAATTTGTAAAACCTTAAAGATTTGATTTTAAAACAAAAAATTTTACCCTTTTTGCTAACATAACTCACTCCTTTTTTCAACATAAAAACTCTCATATAATTGGATGAATGGAGTACTTAATAGTAGTACAAGAAATTCCAAAACATACAACTTTGTGAATCACATCATATATAAAAAAATGAAATAAATAGAGTTTGATAATTTTCAAGGAAAAATTTTCTTGTAGTGGGTTCCCGACGTTTTCAAAAGAAAAATAAAATTCAAGTGAGAAAATTCACTTAGGAAAAATATAAAAAATGAAAAAAGAAAAAAGAAGAAAAAGAATAAACAAAATCCAACTAAAAAAATATGGAATGGTAATTGTTAGACTAAATCCTGAAAATAGTCCTCTGCATTAGGTCAAATGCATATTTTGGTGTTTTACATTAATATTTAGCCGAAAGGCTCCTCTACATCTCAAAATATAACTCTTTTTTTCCTTTGACTAGATCTAGTTCAATATGAGTATTTTCAGAATATTTTTTTTTATTTTTGACAGAATATTATATTACAAATATTAAAATAATTACATTAA